GAGTTCCTGGAGCCTCTACAGCGTGCTGCGGAGTAGATAAGGGGTGGAGCAGTGGGGACAGCAAATGTGGCCTCGTCCTTCGAAAGGTTTAGCCGAGAAGTGGGGAGAATATGCACAGCGCTTGTAGGGGGATGCAGTAGCTGAAAAATACCTCTCCAAGGCTTCACACATGTACAGGTTTGGCATTCACCACCATCAACTTCTAGAATGGCACGCCTAATCCATCCTTTCCCTCCGTGTGTCCAAAATGAGAGAAACGGTTCTCAAGCCAACAAAATGCAGACGAGGCATTTCAACCAAAGATAAAGGTTAGGGATGACTTTTGCTCCTGAGTTCTTCATTCCTTAGAAATCTTTCCTTAGTTCCCACACCTACTGCGACAAGATCCCATCCAGCGTTGCCCTCCTGTGAGAGGTTTAACCAATGGCCAACTCTACCATCCCATCTTTGCCTGATAGCTATTGGAGAAATGACTGTGTCCTGTGCTTGGTTTAACCAACGAATGCACGGCTGGTCACCCTTTGACTGGCATCTTTCCAGTTCTACAGAAACCATACAACTGAAACAACAAAGAAACTGCTGGGTGTCACTGAATCAGATCCATGTGTCACCTGGCTATGAGCACACTTGCCTGCAAGTGTCTGTCTTGGCATCTCCTCAGAGTGCAGGTCACATTCCTGTGTCCGGTAACTGCCCTGGGGTGCACGGTGGGTCTGCCTAGCATGGCGTGAGCAGGCTTCCATCTCTCTTAAGTAGCCCTATGGAATAAGAACATTTTTCTATCAAACATTTAATTTGAAATAATAAATATTTGCCTATTTAAGTGGTGGGTGATTGCTCCTTTGTTTTCTGCAAAACCCCAGGCAAGGAAAAATCAACCCACCTGATTTATTTGGGATGAGAGGGGCTCAGGTGGGTGAAACAGCTCAGGTCCTGGGCTCCTCTTATGATCCACATACAGGTGCAGAGTCAAGAGGGAGGTGTTTGGTGTGTTTTTTTTTAAGTTGAGAAGACTTGACCATATTTATAATCAAGGGTGGAATGTGGGGTGAAATGATCAGTGGGTGGTGGAAATAAAAAGGGAAGACTAGTGGAGCAGGTGCCTGGGGAGAGGGGACCAAGGAGAAGAGTGGGGTAGTCGCCTGAGACCAGAGGGCGGGAAGGGAGTTTGGCCAGGGTTTAGATCAGGATAACTACAGTGTATTGGACACTTGCTATGTACCTGACACGATGCTAGGTGTTGACAGCCATTTGTGGTCCACTCAACCACTCTACAGATGAAGAGACTGGGTCTTAAAAAAGCTAAGTAACTTGCTCAGGGTCATATAATTAGTAAGTGGTTAGCCAGTGTTACACCTGAGAGCCTCTGTCCCAGGGAGGCATGAAGACAATGGGAGAAGTTGGGAGTCAGTGAGGATGCTAACCAGGGACAGGTAAAGTATCCATTGAGGGCATGAATGAAACAGGACACCTGTCATTCCCAGTGTGATAATCTGTAAGACTGAGATTTTTCTGCAGTAGCACAGAATGTTTGGGCTCTGACCAGAGGAGGCAGATTGCAGCCTTTGTTCAGCACGGAGAGGAGAGAGCTGAGGGTCAGTTCTCTGAACTGTGGTCTAGAATGTGGGGGTTGGGGAGGTTGGAGGCAGAAAGGCCAGGAGGAGTTGTTAGAATGGGAGAGGTTGGAGGCAGAAAGGCCAGGAGGAGTTGTTAGAATGGGAGAGGCTGGAGATGGCTATGAAGTTGAACAGCAGGTGTCACATGAGTGTGGTGGTGAACACAGGAAGGACCTGAGGTTTGCTCAGAGGACGGTGTATTGGGTAGGGGCTTTGGGCTAAAATGTGAATTTAAATGGCATGAAACAATAAGGACATTTATAATGACATAGCTGCAAGTCCCACCTAAAGAGGGTTTCAGGCTGTTGAGAAGAGGTTCAGTAACATCTTTAAAGACCATTTCTTTACACATCCAATCTTGGGGCTGATTTCACCCTCCTGCCTGTAGCAATGTGGATACATCGGCTCCTGGAGCTAAAAAATGAAAGATACGGGTTTTGATGACTTGCTCTTTGGTGCAAGGAACTTTCTCCCAGCAACCTCACAGCAGGCTCCCTCCTGCTCACTGGCCAGCACTGGGTCACCAGCCCTGAAGCCAGTGGGGTGGGCCTTCCCTGAGCACTAATATGAGAGAGGTGGCGTCTAAAAAAGTCATCGTTCTGTTAGGGAGGGAGAGGGTCTCTGTAGAGGGAAATCAGAGCTTGAGATGTCTGAGGCGAAATTCAAAACAAAGAAGATTGGAGGGAGTGGACGGTTGAAATGAAGTGGGGATGAAGGTAACTGAAGTTGGGAAGGTGCAGGAGTCAGATGCCTGTGTTTGATTCTGGGTCAGGGTGCATTTGGGAGGCAGCAGACTGATGTTTCTCTCCCTCTCCTTCCTCGCTCTCTAAGATCAGTAAAGAAACATATCCTTGGGTAAGGACAAAAAAGAAAAAAATTATTACCCCACGGTGCAGAGAGAAAGAGGCCTTCCTTTCCCTGCTCGTGGAGCTTTTACTCTAGGAAACCTGTAGTTGTAAATTCTTTGTCTTTTTGAGGCGTACGTAATGTAAATGTTTTCAAAAGCTCAGTGGGCCTCTGCCAGTTTTACATCCCAGTAATGTTTTTTCCCAAGGTCCTGGGAGCCACCAATGTGAAATGTTAGCCTAACTTCCAGGGAGCACCCGGCTCCAAGTTGCAAACCCGCCTCCTGCAGGAACAACAGGAGAAATTTATTTCCGTTTTAGATAAAGACAGTTAGCAAACACGAATGGGCGCTCCAATTGCCCGGTGAGTTTAGGACGAACTCCGCGTGACGAACGGCGCCGCCAGGTCCCCTCCCTTGCGGACACGGGGGGCCGGGCTGCACCCGCCCAGCTCCGCAGAAGGGGCGGCCTCTCGCCGCCTTCGCACCCCGCCCGCAGCCCCCCGCGAGGCGCGCCGCGCTCTGGCGGCTGC